GCCAGTGAGGTTATTGCCCCCCTGGGCTGTGGCCACCTGCTTCCCACACGCTGCAGGTCCCTGGCAGCCGCGCAGGGAGCTCCAAACGCTGCCGTTCATCCAGTATGATCTTGGTAGCGATCTTAGTACCTCATCCATCTAAAGATTTAAATTATAATGTTCTCCATTACTGAAAACTGTTTGAAACATATTGCTGTATGCAGAAGATGTGGCTTAGGTCGGATTTTTGAGGTATGACATTTCTAAGTTCAACTTTTGTCTTTAATCACACTATGTTCTGAGGATCGGGCCCTGAAGTGCAGCCAGTACAATTACAATTAAGAGTTAATTAAGAATAATCTGCTCCTTTCATCAATCATGAAGAAAAGTGCTAGAACTGCTACTAAGAAAAATTTACAGACAATTTCTAGTCAAGCCTTTACAATGGTTTAAGAAAGTTTGTTTAGGCCCCAAAGCACAAACATCCTGCTCTCAAAGACTCAAGGCTGGAAGAGTTCAATTTCCAACACTCCAGTCGTTGTGGCCAACCCGCAGCAAAAGGACAAATGTTATTCCTGCTGTTTAAAAAAACAGACATATTGCCTTTAATGCATTTCAGTAATCAACTAAAAATTAGGCATCTCCCAGAATTACTTGAGTCTATGCAACCTTCTGAAGTGATAAGCTTAGGAAGAATAGCCACATCACAAGCTACCAAACAGAAGGATATGGCAAAGCCAGGGCTCTCAGTGCATAAAGCCCCTCGGCACACGTTAGTTGCGGCACAGGAGCACCTTAAAACCTGCGGTCAACACTGTGGCCTCTCCAAGCAAGCACTTGATTATTTTACAGGCTCTCCAAACTGCAGAGATCTTCTACCAAAACCGTGAGCAAGCGGACGGGAGACACAAGCGTCGGGGTGACGGGTGCCGAGTCGCTCGGACGCACAGCAAACAACCAACGCACAGGAAAAAAGGGAGGGGAGTTTTATAATAGCGACGCTGAATACAAATTCAGGAGTCTGTGGAGATGTACGACAAGCTCAAAAGCTCTCATCTTTCCCACACTGCTTCTTTCTCACTTACATAGACTGATTTTTTTTTGGTTAAGGCAAACAACACTGTGGGATTAGGCAGTACTTACTTAGTACTATGGCATCCCAGCTTACCTTCATAAATCAAATGCTAGGTGTATAGGCACTTTAGATATTATTGGCAGAAGTAAAATTTAATATAGTTTGCCATCATGTGGAAAAAATTTAAGGTCCAGTTCCATGAAGTCAGTGTGATTTTGGCCTGAATCAGCCATCTGCTACCTATATTAAAGAGTATAACATTCTCAATATAAATAAAATACATTCAATTTTTATCGGGTTTGACATTTCTTACAGTACTGAAATTTTGTCATTTGTCAACCTGTATTTTTAGACCTCTTGGACTGCAGCCTGGGCTCCATCTGGCAAAATTAGGGGTGTTCCTAATCCAGAGCATTTCAATGAATACTCCTATGCTAGTTAATAAAGAGCAAATTATAGCTGATTGCAGCTGATTGTAAAAGGATAGGTTTTATTCTGAAAATACAAACCATGAAATACAAGGTATTTATTTCATGGGTATATGTGATATAATGGGCAGTATTCCTTCATGTTTCTGTACTAGCTGCCTACCAATATATCAGTGCATTACATGAGGTAACAGCATGATATTTAGAGCAGTTACATACCGGCCATGGTATAACATTTTAAAAGCCTTATTGCAACTCAGTATATCTTTTCTTGTTAAGTTGATTGCTGTATTAGCTGCATTATAAATATGAATGTAATCTGAAAACCACAGAGCCTAAGGACAACACAGTCAGCTAACTTTATCTAACATCATAAATGCACAAATTTCAGGGTTCAGGTGAATTTGAAATGGGCTCAGATGAAAGTCCCAGTCCCAATGAGACTGTGGTTCACAGAGGTGACTGTTGCAGTAATTGCACTAGCAACTTATGAGACACGAGCAGATCACTGTCTTCCTACATGAAGTCTTTCCTCTTGTATAACCAAGGCAATGTTACTTTCAAGACTCATTACATGCACAAGTTACAGCGAAGTTTGCCCTGTGACCATAGTGTCTTTCTAAGGCTTTTCTTCAGTCTTCACATCGCAGGCTGTATGTGTCACTCCCGGCAGAGCAGGCACCAAACACCCTGTCCAGGTACTGAACTTCGCAGTGTGGTTTATCCGTGGGAGCAGCGTTAGGGCTGCTGGGCCGTGACCCGGCCACTCCGAGGAGTGAAGGACAGCCCGGGACAGCAGCAGGGCCCTCGCTGCCCACGCGGGCAGGCACAGGAGAAGCTCCAGGCCCAGGCAGCATCCTGCGCACGTCCTGGTCCACCAAGAGACAGCAGCGCAGGGAAGGGCCTCTGAACCGGCAAAGCAGTTAATGGGAACAAGAATCAAAGCTTGAGGCCTTCTCCAGGGACCTGGCAATCGCTGGCCACTCTTGAGAGATGTCTCAGGAGGACATAATGGTCTTTGCTAAGATTTCCTGGAGTGGAAAAGGATCCCACCTCTCCCTACTTCCTCCTAGCAGCCTGTAAAAACTCAATTATTAATATTTAGTTCAATTCTCATTCATTTTCTGGGGATAGGATGAGGCACAGTCTCATTAGCCTCCAGCCACTGCTGGCTCTAAGTCTTACCCCCCTCCACTCCCCAGGAGTCCTGCATTGGCTTGGATTTTACAGTCCGAGCAGGCATCTGCACAGCTGACGCACACGCACACCTGTTTGGTGCCATGAAACAAGTAATAAACTGATTCTCTTTCCATCATTGCCACTTGTCCAGCTAGGGGAACTGGCAGAAGTAAAGAGGTGAACAGGGAGGTAACGGCAAAACCACAAATGGCAAGTGCAACAGTAATGCTGTTCACTGGCCAAGTACATTAGCTCATTTTAATCCTTTCTAAGTGTACATTACATCACAACTCCTTATCTGCCCAGCCTTCCTTAAAAACTTATAAATCATACCGAAAATACAACATTAATCTTTATCACTTACCTCACCACTATTTAATAAGCAGTGGGAGGGAGTTTCCGCAGGCTGAAGGCAGTTGTGGAAAGCTGACTTTGAACCAACTCCAGTTTTGAGGTCATCGGCGCGCGAGCCGCCTTGCTGCCTCAGCGCGGGCCGTCGCAAGGCCCCGTGTGCCGGGGCGCAACTGCGGGTACCGCCGCGGGGCCTGGTGAGACCCGAGCGCCCGCTCGGCTTGGCAAGGGGGGCGGCTAACCCGTCATAACGTGGTCGTTAGGCCTGGTTTATTGTCTGAACATGCATTTCCTAGCGTGTTAGGAACACACTCACAGAAATGACACTGGGACATGCACAGTGGTTAGGAAGAAACCTGGTCAGTACCGTGTCACAGAATCACAGAATCACAGACTGGTTGAGGTTGGAAGGGACCTCCAGAGATCATCTAGTCCAACCCCCCTGCTCCAGCAGGGACACCTAGAGCACGTGGCACAGGGTGGCATCCAGGCAGGTTTGGAAGGTCTCCAGAGAAGGAGACTCCACAACCTCTCTGGGCAGCCTGTTCCAGGGCTCTGTCACCCATATGGCACAGCCCAGCGTGTTTCTTACTGCTCTTATTTTCTTTAGGTTGCTGGCACCGCAAGTCTTAGTTCCTTGCAAATCCTGGTCTCTATGGTGCACATCTTTGGATTAGCTTTATTATAGTAGGAATGTGGCTCTAAATTGAGTTTTGAGTTTCAAAAGAGTTTTACTGAAGATGAGTCTTAGTAAAAATGTGTTTTATTTTATATTTAAGAGAAAACACTACTCCTCTTAAACCACGTAAAGATCACGTCCATTTTTTCTGTAACATTCATCGTCTTGTTCTGTTCCAGTCACTGGGGTACATGAGCATGAACATGTGCCTTATGTTTGTCTTATAAAACTGATCTGCTATGTCCCTTTGATATGAAAATTGGAACAGAGAAAGCTAAGCTTTTCCTATGGTGAATCATAACATGTCAAGAACACAAGAGCAAACCATTCTATGATGTGTATCTCATGTTATCTAAGGAAAGTAAAGCAACATAACTGACATAGCCAAACTATTACTGGAAAAGAGATTCAGCATTACATTATATATCAATTACCATCAGTTATATATCCACTTCTCAAATCCACCTCCTCTGAATGATGACAATAGCAAGTATATCCATGACCAAACATCTCATTTGAGCAAACCATCTAGTCACATAAATACAACGTTTAAAATCCAGTTTCTTGTTTATGTGATTTAGGTCAATACTTGTAACTGCATTTTTGGAACTTCTCTGGGTAAGCAAAAACTCAGAGCACGACATTTTAATTTATCCATTTGAGCTTTCTGAAAGGCCCATGCTATAGGCAATAAGTCTATGTGCAATGCTTTTCTTTGCAATAGCCTTACTTGCAATTTTCACACTTACGGAAAAGTGCAATAGGAAAAATGTAGTATTGGAAGGCACTTCATTCCTGGCTTTATAACTCCTGATTTTATATACATACATATGTATATCACATATATGCATTATACTCTTCTTGTCATCACAAAGCAGTAATTAACTTTCACTTACCATTGTTTCTTCTTGCAGTCTCTTGTATTTAAGGGTAAGTCTACACAGTAACTGCCAGGAAGGGCAGTTTAAGAGGTTTTACAGTACTATATACACAGATATAAAACAATGGCAGCGCAAGTGCTGTTGATCTCCAAAGAGCTATTCTTCAGATTTTGTGGGGATTAACAGTTAAATACATTCTCAAAACACACTGCGCTGCAGCACGGGTCTTCCAGACAACCCTGATTTAACGTGCCTGTAGCCTTGCGGCCGCTTCCAGGTCTGCTCTGTGTCCAAAGCAGAAGCAGAGGACCAGGGTAAATGATGGGGTCATTGCACTGCACCCTGAACGTCACCAGCCTCGCAAGCCCTAGCTCCAGAAAAGGGAGGGTTTCTTTGAATCACTTCTTGATATGGTTTATACAGAGAATTCAAACTCAAGTGCCCTGGAGCAAAAAGTAAAGCATAATCTATCTTCTGAGTTACAGCAAAAACCATTCTGGACAGTATCAGGTTTCACTGCACGTAATGGCTTTATGAAGTGTCTAGATGTTAATTGTTCTATAAAACACATTTTTCCTTCCAAAATGCAAATTATAAGTAATTTAATCAGGACTTTACTCTTTAGTGTTTTAAATGTACTTTTAAATGAAAGACACAAGATTGCCAAATTAAAGATTTATTATAGTGTTTTTATTAACAAACTTTCATTGGAAAGCTCTGGGCGCATTAACAGAGGAGGCACATTGGCTTCGATGTTTGGCATATGACAGTCAACAGAATTGCACTTCGCTGCTACAGCCTTGCTACAGCAGCGTGAACTTTCATGGCAACCCTCACAGCGAGCGTCTCTCCCTGCCCGGCTCAGCAGGCGTTTTGGATCGGGCCGCTCAGCCTTCAAACCAAGCTCGTCCTGCAGGGAAGGCTCAGCAGTTTTGCTCTCAGCTTTCTTCTTCTGCTTTGATGTGGAGGCTTTCTTGCTTTCAACCCCGTTTACTTCTGTACCACCCTTTCCATCCCCCTGGTCTTTCTTCTGGCTGCTTGCTATGCTGTTCTCACATTCAGAGCAATGCACTATTAGAGGCCCCACATTGTGGCAGAGAAACTGCGAGGAGCTCATCACCTCTGGAAGAGTTCTTACGTTTTCCTCCGGGTTTTGACAACCACAAGAATCTGTCCTGTTTATTCGCTGATGTGCCTGAAACTGTTGCACCGACTGGAGGAAAAAATTTTTAGGCAGGGAGTTCTGCGCCGTGGTTCTTTTGAGCCTTCCTTGAAGGCAGCCGCAGGGGAGGCTGTGCGGGCCCGGGGGCAGGCAGCCCTCTGGGGCCTGCGGCAAGGCGCCAAGAGGAGCCGCGGCGCCAGGGAGCCGCACGGCGCCGGGGACGGGGCAGCACTGGGGGCAGAAGGCCTCGCTGAACTGCTGACACGAGTGCGGGCTCCACGCCACGGCCAGCTGCTTGTAGGCGTCGGGGCAGCCACACTGCCGGCTCTGAGAGAAAAGCGGGCACAGGGCATGTTGGTCGAGAGACGGCTGCGACACAGCTGAACTAGCAACTTTTTGCAGGCTCTTACTCATTTCGCTGCCATAGGCCGACTGCAATGACCCGCGTGTGCTTGGGGCCCTGCTGCTGAGGAGCTCGGAGCAGACACGAGTTTCCTCACAGGCCCCTTTCTCAGCGGCGGGATCTGCCCGCACGTGCCCTGCGGCCCGAGGCAGCGGCACATGCACTGGAAGAAGAAGGTGGCAAAGGCCCAGCTGATGCACATGATCAGCATCATGAAGGTGCCGAGCTGCGTGTAGGCCAGCACCGTGGACGGCATCATCATGGCGCCCGCTACGAATGTGGTGAGCGCGGCCATGGCGATAGCAGAGCCCATGCGGCTCAGCGAGAAGATGACTTTGCCCTCTCGGTCGGGGTCAGGGGCTAAGCGATACGCCACGCCGTAGTGAACGGCAAAGTCTACGGATAAGCCGACAGCCACGGAAATAGTGACGGACTCTAACACATTGAGCTCCCATCCAAGAAGAACCAGAGAGCCTACTGTGACAAAAATAGTTCCAGCTATTGAAACAATTGCATAAAGGCTTATAATTATATTCCAGGTTGTAAGAAGCATCACACTAAATGCAACAGCAACTGAAAGCCCCATGGCAATCAGAGTACCATCAGACAGGCTGTCCTGAAGATCGTAAAATTCTAAATTACTCACAAACCAGCCGTTGCTGAGGCCCTCGGGAGCAGAGCTGAGCTCATGTGAAATCCAGGAGTCAACCTCTGTGTAGAACTGATGCATTTTCTCATAAGCAAGCGTGAAGAGGTAGGTGCTTTGAAACTCCAATACCACTGCCCGGATAGTGTCATTTAGGTCAAAGCGAGGCCCGGGAGTTTTGCTATCTAAATGGTACCCTGTGCTTCTTTCTAACTCCATAATGGCTCTCTTGATACATAATTCAAAAACTTCTTGCTTGTATGGAAAGCTCCAGTGGCTGCAGCAAGGGTAAAGAGATGGCTCATCGCAGTCCTGATTTTCCATCCATTGCTTAAATGTCTCAATAAAGCAGCTTGTGAAGTCTTGTTCGTCAGTCTGATAAAAAAATGTTTGATTTCTCAGCTTCTGACAAAAACGTAAAATCCAAACCTGCGAAGCTGGGCTGGCAATATTAAAACTGTTATCCAGCTGTAACTTTCCTTTACTCTTAGGGTTTAAAGGGTCCCCGTTATCTTCAGGAATGACACCCCAGATTACTGTAATTGGCATGTGGAGTTCCTCTCCATGGTGAACACGTTCAAACATAAAAAGCTTTTTGTATTCTGCATCATAGCGTTCAAATGGGTGAGAAGACCTAAATACCTGAAACTCAGAGAGCTCCAACGACGGCAGTTTCATCTTTGGATTCACACACACAATATATGCTCCACCTATCGTTAAGGCAAGGAACCAGAAAAGCCAAATGTATCGAAATTTGATAACAATGCATGGCAAAACCTTTTCAAAAAATATCCTGGATGCTTCCGAGACTGCAAAAATAACCTTGTGGAACATTTGGCACAACACTGTCCAGCAGCTTTTGTTGCTGAAGACCCTCTGGTGAGGTTTTTTAAAGCAACTGAAAATATTGAGAAGATATCGTTCATGTAATACAACTACGGCAGGCAGCCACGTAACCATCAAAACATAATTCACCAATATGGCAGTGCCAGCATAAACACCAAAACATCTGATTGCTGTGATATTGCTGACGTAGTTAGCGTAGAAGGCAGCAGCGGTGGTAAAACTGGTGACAAACATGGAAAGAGCAGCATGCTGCAATGTGATGCTTACTGTCTCAGAAGTTCCTGCATGAGGTTTATCAAATTTCGTGTAGTTCCAAACATCACATAAGACAAAAGCATCATCTGCTCCAATTCCAACAAGAATAATTAAAGCAGTGAGATTCATAAATGGAAAAAACTCAAAATTAAATACTACCCGATACAGAAAATAAGAAACGATCAAGGAGCTAATTATTGCAAACATAGTCATTAGCGTGATAAACATTGACTTCGTGTACACACACATAACTAACAAAACAATTACAATGGCTATGGCAGGATACACAGTATCCATCAACAGGTAATCTTGAAACAAACTGTGTTTTATTCCAAACTCAATCCCTGTGATGGTTGTCACACCATCAGAAGAGTTCCAGTTCTCAAAGTTATCCAGGTAAATGTTCATCATGCTCTCTCCTTTCTCGGTCGGAGAGAAGAGCATGCTATATTTTAAAGCTGGTAGGACATAGTCAGCTGTCTTTGGGCTTAGGAAATCCTTGTCCACTAGATAGTGGAGGATCTGGTAAACAGCGTTGTACTTGGTACATTTGCGAGGCACGTTCGTACACTTGAGCTGGTCCTTCCTTTTGGCATTCATGTCCCAGCAGTCGGCGCCCAGCGTCCCGTTGTAGTAGTATTTGGCACAGGTGCGAAGCAGCTTTAGGGTGTGAGACACGTCTCGTTCTACAATTTTTTGACATGATGACCTGTTGTTTAAAATGGCAATATAATTGCCCAGTGTCCAGCTGGGACAGCACGAAGCAGCAGTGGCTCTCTGGCAGAGATCACCAAATTGGGAATGGGATCGGATCTGTATAAAGACAGGCAGGGCAAAAATCCATTTTAAACTGAGTCTGAATCATAGTTTGAAATTAGAAACATTCACACACACATTTTAAATGGGATAAAAACAGAACTTACAATCATTCTATTAAAATTTTAAATTCCTATTTCCATGCACAGTGTTTGCCTCCCATTACTTGCACCAGGCTAAATCAGGAGTAGCTCCACTGAGCTGTCACTGCAGCACAGAATCTGCAGAGGTGATAAAAAAATTGCACTAATCTGTTTTCTCAAGATGCACTGAGGTTTGTTCCAGACTATGATTGTTTCTCCCCTCTATTATCTCATATTATAGTCCTGAAAATGCATAGTCAGCCATACATTAAAAATCCTTCATTCTGCTTGAAATCACACACAGAGGTTTCTAGGAGAGGCAGGGATTTACCACGCAAAAAGACGTGACGCGACGGCTTCATGGCAGTGACTTCCATCCCCTGGGCTCGTCTCCAAGCCTCTCTGTGAACCTGCTTTGCTCCCATGGGGACATTTCCCTCACATGAGTCTCCCTAAGGCCCCCCAGCCTGAGCCCTGCTGCACAGACAGCTCTGGCCCTTGGGAAGCTGGGTCCATCCTGGGGGTGTCCGGAGGGTCACCCCAGCAGTGAAGGAGCAGGAGAAAATCCTGTGGTGCAACCACCTTAACCAGTATTTTGGTTAAGAAATCCCTTCAGCTAAACCAGTGGGAATCCTTATGTGGATACTCTTCCTTAAGACTGGTCTAGATTTAGTTGAAGCCAGGAAGAATACAGACTTAGCTAAATCACTGTAAGGCACTTTTAAGCAAAATTGAGTGTGTCTATAAAATATAATTGAATTTTTTCGCTAACAAGGTTAGAGCAGGGAAATTTCACTAGTACATAAACCCCACGAACTTGATACGACACAGGAAATTCAAGTCTTAAATATTTCATGTGTATGATGCTAAACAAAACTTCTAGTTTGTAATGTATGACATTGGAATTAATCTCTCAAATATTTGGGCATATGTAAAATTCCAGTCTATTGAGTTATACGCAATGAGAGCATATTAATACAAAGGTACATTAATAAAGCTACGTGCTTAAGGGCTTTGAGGATTTGGGTCCTAAAATTGTTGTCCAGTCCATACAATTGTTCCAGACGAGAGAGATTTAATACTTTGGCTTTTTTAGCAACATTGCACAGGTTTATTACTAGCAGCCATTTATAATGCAAACAAAAAAAAAAAAAGAAAAATGTACTTGGGGATTCTCCTGACAGTCATAAAAGCTTTAATATGGACTTAATTTTATAAATCAGATTGTGAATGAGAACAAACTGGTATACAAAAAAAACCCAGGATAATTCACATTTGATTGTTTCCAGATAAAAACACTCCCACATGCAAACTCAGGAAAGACTGAGCAACCTCCTAAATAAAAGGAAGCACTGCAATAGCATATCTGTATTTTTCATGGCACGCCTCCAGGTTTATCCTAGGAGGATATAATAGGCAAACCCTTGGGTCAGACAGGCAAATCATGAGGAAAGGTTTGTATGTTCTTCTCTGCATATTCAAGTTCAAGATGGGCCAATGACTTTATACACTATTCTTCAGTACTTGCTGCAGGCTGTGCACACTCACTGGTAAAGTAACTGTTGCCAAAAGCAAAGCAACATGAGCAGGCAGCTGGAACTTAGAAGCTAAAATACAAAATGTAGCTGGGAATAACACTAAAATACTCTGTAAAATGAGAATATTCTGCCACTACCAGAATTTTCATTTATTTCAGGACAACTAAAGAAAAGAAGCTGTACATCCTGTGCACATGCTGCTTCTGTAGCCAGATCTCCTTGCCAAATGGATCTGTGCGTGACAGGGAAGCACAAACACACATTTTGGGGTCAGCAGACTGGGGAAATCATTTACAGTCTTTGAAGTTTATAAAATAGCTGTTTGTGGTTTATAGAGAAAACACCCTGCGATTAACATGTGAAAGGCAGGACTCTTCTTATCCAATTAAAAAGGAGAACACCTCCTATAGCTATGTGTATATAGTGTTTCCATGAAGATTACAGGTTTACCATGTGCTGAGCAGCTGCAGGATGAAGCCCCGAAGTGTCAGTAAAACATATAGTTAAAGCAGTTACAAGCAGATGGGAAAGCAATTAACACACAGGGGATTTACTGATAGCTCATATTTAAGCAAATAACAGTTGGAGCAGAAATCCTATTCATCATTAGAAAAATATATAACCCCTAAGGCTCACACTTCCAGAAAATGTAGTGCCTGATTTTCCCGTCTTTGAATATGGGAAGTTCTGCCACTTATTTAAACAGAAAGAAAACTGTCCCCCTAAACAACCAGGTCTTCAACAACAAAGAAATAACTACAGTCAGAGGAGGGTCTGTAGGACTAGGAAGGTCACTGAAGTCATGAATTTCTTGTGATGGCTACGGAGCGAGTGAGCGTCCTTGGCAGAGCCGGGCTGCTCACAGGAGAGTGCAGCATGCAGGAACAGGGCACGGCTCAGCACCTCGTGTTTCCTCAAGAGTTCATACTTAGAAATGCCGTATGTAAGTAGTAACAAGCACTTTTTAAACTTTAATGAAAAAGGCTTCAGCTGCTGCTATCCTGCTCTGTTAGGGTGCTGTCTAGCTATTATATTCTTAAGTAAAGCCTAAGACAGCAAAAGGATCAGTGGAAACATTATCTGCAATACATTTCTAAATAAATATCTGCACAACTCTGGCAGCAGCTGTATTAGCCAGTGCTTCGGTTTCCCAAGTGTTCTTATTTCAAATGAAGAGGTGTTTTTGTGGAGTTGAGATAGATGGTGCCTGCTCTTTAAAGCAGTTTCTTGTCACATTCTTTGGTCTTCTGTAAACTGGTAGTTGAAATAATGTTTTAATATACAAGTGTACATATAAGGCAAAAAAGAAGACGAATTCCCCAGGGCTAATACAATCATTATGAATACAATTCTTCAGATGTAATAACTGATTTTATTTTGTTAGACAAAATAAAAATATTTTTTCCATTTATGCTGAAATGCTTTACAATAATCTACAATACGTAAGACTCACCTGCATCAGCTGTTCATGTGATTAAATTGCTACAGATATAATGAGCATCCCCTGTTTAATTCCCCTAATTTTTCCCTATATATCTTCTGCCTGAATCAGTCATGTGATTGCTCATTTCAGTCAAAGGCAGCTGCATCAGACAAATCCTAAACACTGCAGTTTGCTCACCTCAATCTCTTTGATTGAAAGAGATAAAGGGTAAATCCACGAGCTCTCCTGCTAGTGCAGGACTCTGGAGGGTAAATGAGGAACCATGCACGAGCATGTGAGGACAAAAACCACTTAGGGCAAAAGAGCCCAACCAGGACAAATTCAGCGCCAACAGACACAGAGGGAGAATCATCACGCAGCGCTTTGCCACAGCTCGACGTTTTAAGCAAACACGTCAGCTATTAGGAAAAAGAGTTTGGGGATTTGCTAGATTGAGGCAATTGCCCCAAAGGCATCGGTAAACAAATATTCCTTGTGAGATAATTATGGCGCATTTATTATGTTAATTGTTTATGCTAATTTGGGCTTTGAAGGAAGAAAAACAAGTTTATCAGGAAATCAATGGATCATTCTTAATACACAAAATCATACAGTGTAATTAATTTCCGTATGAGGTCATCAGGACACAAAAAATAGTTGCATAATAATTCAAAGAACAAAACATGAATTTTTAGCAAATCCCAAACAAATTTCTAGAAATGTGCCACCTGAATGCTTAATTTATTTTAGACTGTGTCAGTAAACCTCTATTAGTTGAAACCAGACATCATTTCAATAGTGTGCGTATAACTGCCTTCTAATCCAAGCAAAAGAAGCTATAAAAGCCCCTGAGACTGGCTATTACACTGGTCATTTTAGCTCTGCAAGGTACCGAGTGTAAGGAGAACCATATTTACACCGTCCAAGGAAAATTACAACTAAGCCAGGTGGACAAGGCCAAAATGACTTATTTCATTTTCTCAGTTTAAAATAAACTGAGAAATAATTTAATATCCCTCTCAGAGTATCAAAAGCCAGATCTAGTTAATTGTGCTCTTTGTTTAGATACAGTATCTATGTTCCTTCGCCATCCAGATGCTACCTATTGTCTTTAGACTTCATCAATCTAAAGACCCATTGCCTGCCAGAAAACACTGCATATGCTATGAAGATGCAGCCAGTTCAACTGAAGGAGGAAAAGCAAGGAAAACTGAAATATTTTCTGGGAAACATGAACAAAAGTCCATGGAATAATATCTTAAGAGGAAACACACAGCACAAGTTAAGCTGCTGCAGTTATTTTGTGCTAAACTTTTGAAGCAACTCTAGCCTGCCCCATTCTGGGTTCTGGATGGCATTAGTAGCAAAATCCAAAGAAATTCCTGCCTATAATCTGACTGCATAAATTGAAAGCTGTTGGTTAACCCTCCACATGCAGGCTGATCATCAGAGAAAGACGTGGACAATGTGAAACGCTCTCATATGCTATCAAACTGTAATGGGCATCAAAACAGACCTGGAATATTTGTTCATACTTGCATATTAAACAAATGAAAGAGCACCTTTACTTACCCTCAAGTTATCTACATTGCACATTGACTTAATTGCATTCAAATTCCACAAATTCTCTCCCTCTGTTGAAGTAAATACCACTCGTGAATAGCGGTCACCTGAAATTACAGAAGAAGGTTTATGGATTATTCAGGGGTCTCTGGCATCCAGGACTGAAGCAAAATCCCACTGATCAGATGACAGAGATGGAACCTCTGTCACATCACAGGCATTCACCTCACTTATAAGCTGATCTTGTTATGTTTAGGATTCAGTCCACACAAAAGTTTCAGTTTCCTTAAAGTGCTTGTAGTAAATACGGCATCTTAAATATTAGATACTACTTAGAAGTTCTACAGACTGCTATTCTAGCAAACTATCTTCTGCAATATGACAAACAAATGAAAATCAAAAGATCTAATCAGCAAACTATGAAATTCTTGGCACAGCATTAACGGCAGCACACAGATAATAGTAATCAAAAGCTGATTCAGTGAGACATTTGGGAATATAAATAATAATTATAAAGATGTTTCTACAAGAATGTTTTTGCTTCAGAAGTGAATGACTGCAGTAGAAATTGTCATGATATCCTTGAGGCCATTTTAAAAGAATTCTACACACACAGCTTAGATTACAAATTAAATCACATTTATTAAGAGACAGCCTTTAGGAAGAAAATTATTACTTAGTAGCAGCAGGATCGTCACGCAGAGGAGAAACATATACGCCCACACTCACATATCTATGGTACTGTATAGCACATTATGGTACTTTGGGTTAAAAAACATTAGCAGCTTAATTGCAATGTTCCCAATATGAAAGGCTGAATTTTTCCCTTTGTTGGGAATTGGCAAAATTGTTGGGAAATTGTTGCCTCTGAGAGCTGTGATGACAAGACTCAGGAGTCCTGCTTTAAGATCTTTAATGTGCTTTAGGATCAGGGAAGCTGGTCTGACAACCCTGGAGCAAAAAAATAAGGACACCAGGGATGACAAATACTGGTCAAGAGGTAACTGCCAATGGTAAGTCAACTGTTTTCTTTACATACAGTGCTGGCAAACCTTCCCATAGAAGCACAATTCTGTCATGACAGCTATGATTGAGATGCAGAAACAGCAGCGGAAAGAATAAGAATGAGACTTAAAAACACCCCCAAAACAATGGGCAGGATAAGAGCAGTTGATTCTGCTTCAAGCTGTGGTTAATGCTCAGTGGAATTTCAGGCACATTTACTCATCCTTATGGGAGCCCCAATTATTTTAATTCGCTTCTGCCCATAGAAGCAGCATTGATGACCTTGTGCATGTCCTCTAACTTATATTAGAAATAAGAAAAAAATCTATTTTACACCTCTGTTTTTCCTGGTTATTGCTCTCTCATATTAAGAAATGTAAACAAACAATTACACAATTATGTTTTCATGTTGCAATCAGTGCTCACACACTGAAGCAGCAGGTCACATACTGATGCAGCAGCAAAAAGTCCAAGTCTCAAAGTAAGATCTATCCCTGCTAACGCAGGCTATCTCACAGAAAGGACTATCACAGTCTTGCAGCACGTCTTGCAAGAGGTTCAGTACAGATTTATCTGCTAACATAACCTCTTTACTTGAAACTAAGTATCTTCACAGGCCTTTGGTTTTAAGTTCTAAAAATGTTAAAAAAAAAAAAAAATCCTGAGCAGGATGTGACCTGCGGATGATTTTTAGAAAAGAGCATTATACAAATATAAAGAGGAAAAGTACTTTGGTTTAGGTTTTTTTATTTTATTTTTTATTTTTTAGAATTACATTGATGTGTTGATGGCACAGATAAAACGCTGTTTTCTTAGGGTAGGTGCAACTTCTGTAGGCATATATATTCAAGACACCACTTTTACAATGATCAGTATTAACAACAACTCATAAAAAGTTTAAAGGAAATGGAAGCACTTAAAGAAAGCAATTTAAGGAAGTAGAGTTGTTTCCTTAGACATACCAGTTGAATGCAACATTTTAGTTTGATTTCCTCAAAGGCTTCTGCAGACATAAAGAAGGTACTTATCATGAATATATCTAGCAAGAAATATTTTAGCTAATATTAAGGCATATAATATAAAGAAGGGTTCAGAAATCATTCTATTTGCAACAGTTTTTAGGCTTCTTTGTATAATAATACTCTCCACTTACTTGGAATATCGCAGAAAAAGGTATCTTTGTGGAAGTTCCAGTCTGCTTGCCTCTTCTCTCTTTCGTAGTGATCATCTGACCATCTGTCATCCTGATGACTAAAACAGAATAAATACTTTTACGTTATCTTAGCAAAGGGATCGTTAAAATGAGTACCCAAATTATCATGCCTCTTTGTAACTCTGGCATTAAAAAAAATGTTTTTTTTTTGTCAATGTGACTCTAGTATTCAGGAACTGCAATATTTGTTACACTTCTTGTTTTTAGAGACTTCAAAGGAAACTATATTGAGCCTAGTATTGGAAAATACCGGTAACTCAAAGAGAAAACAAAAGTGACAAGTCACTTTAACCAGCTCCATATGAAAGACCTTAAAGAACTTGGAGGGTAAGATTCAGTGTTCATTGAAATCAGTGGCAACGTATACATTAACTTCAAAGGGTACTGCAGCAAGTTCATTTAAGCAATAAAAACAATAAATAAAATGAATTTTGAACTCCAACTCTTACCTTTTAGCCTGCTCATCTGCATACTTGAAAGGATAATTTGCCAGTGTTGCTTTGTACCCTGTGTTTTTCACCATGTTATTCCATGTGACCAATCTCTGTCCTATTGCTGTCCCTCTTGGTTCAAAACCCTAAGGGAGAATATTACGAAACTCCATTAATACATTTCATTCTTTAACTTTAATAGGAAAGTGGAAATGCAATCAAGATGATCGTTTTCAATATGAAGCATAGTTATTCCAGGCATCTATGTTCAAGATAAAGTGCTTTAAAGACAGGGCAGTTTGACAAAGTAATGACCAACTGCATGGACTGACAAGGGATAAGAATTCTTGCGTGTACCACTTACATCCCTCAGAAATTATGATTACTTAATGTATGACAACGTTTAACACATTAGTTCTTAGTTTTCAGAGCAAGGATACTCTACGCTGTTCTCTTCTGTATCTTCATTATCACTCTTCACTGATTAAATATGATTTAAAAATCCTAAATAAATCTAATCAATCCTAATAAAGTATATGTTTCTAGTTATCCAAGAATAAAACCTATACAATAACAATTTTTAAAGAGACTTTTAATCATAATTTGAATAACTGTAGACTGTGTCAAGAAATATCCTTTATTGTATAATGTGCATGTACAGATATACTGTACTGCAATAGACCAATATGCAAATATAACATTCATGGGAATGTTATATTTATATCTGAGCATAATAACTAAATGCAACTTTTTCCATAAGAGTCCTGAAAGTTACTCATGGGTAATATAGCACAGGAAAAGTAAGAAATGAGCCCAGAATTTAATGGAATCTGATAAAGATTACTTTCAGCCTTTCAATATGGATATGATTTCATCCCCAGACGGCTCTTTAATAGATCCTGGCACTCACTCTTTGAAACTTGATTTGGAACGTATGGTCTGGGCTGTGCTGTTCCTATTATCTATAACTCTTAACTGGGATGAATTTACATTGTTCAATGTATAGAAGTTCTGTTGCAGGACATATGAGCTCTGAATAGCTCTCTGCACCACACCGTTGCTGGAGCTAGTGCATAACTAACTGCCCGAGGTGCAACCGCTTCTTTGCATCGCCCTCGGCTAGCTCACTATGCTCACATATGGCAGAGACATTGCCAGGCTCTTAAATCAAATTTCTTTCATGTATTCATCATATAATACTTACTTGTACAGGCTCACTACTAATGGAATCTTTCTGAAAATTGATTCCCGAAAAGATTCCTGGTAGAGATTTTTTTTTTGCAGATTTTGACAGTAAAGCAATAAATCGGCCAATTCAGTTCTTAGATCCCAAACAGAGTATGTTACACTGCAGATTTCAGACACAGACGTCCACTAAACCAAGGCACGTCAAGAGTCAGAACTTTTGTCTGGGCAGGCCTGACTTTAAAAGGAATTTTTACAATGTGACTGAAATGAACTTGCCTCCCACATTTACCGCTGTCCCTGGAGAAGGAGCACACCAAAGCCAGCCGTTTGCCAGTGCCCCTGGGTACCTACCAGCAGCGGGTCGGAGAAGTCGGGCAGCTCTGGCACTAGGATCCCCACGAGGGCGCACACCACGATGAGCACGGTGCACATGCCCAGCACCACCACGGGCCAGTCGGCGAGGAGCGCGGCGTAGCTGCGGCGAGGGGAGAGACGTCAGGCACAGCGGAAACTTCCCCATCTTAAGAGAAGCCCTTCGTGGCAGAATACTGCTATTTTTTTTCAGGATTCTGACATAAATTACTGACATAAGTGTTACTATTTTAAGTTACTGAAAGAACTGTTTCTGTTGTACGTGTTCAGGCATGAAGAGTGATGTGCCTATCATTCATATAAAAATGCATTCACACTAAAAATTGCATATGTGAAGTGAAACTGTTGTTTAAGATTAAACATGAATTACTGATATTAACACTTCTCCAATAAATTTATACTTCAAAAGAGAAGGAGAGAAGGAGAGTTGCAACATGATGCACAAACTAACGGAGTTCGTTACTTGGTCTTCTGGAACAATGTATCTCTTGGCTTTTAACTCTCAGCATCTTTTCAAGTTGTCTGAGTGCAAAAAGTTTCACATAAAAATCTAATTTTTGTTATTTCCTAAGATATTTTTATTTTAGTTACATTGGGAAGAAAAAAACCCAGAAAACTCCCAAATCCTAGTTTCTTCACGATTTTTCGTGCAGTGAACACCTGAAATCACAGAGCTTATATTTCACGGGCAACACTGCCTAATCTTTGTGCTTTTTGTTTGTTTGTTTGTTTTTTTGTATAGACACCAATTGCCAGACTGACTGGCTATTGCAGACATTCGCTCTGAAGTCAAAAATAAAACCTAAATATTTATTTTCCTGCAGGATTTACCCCTTTGACATGCTGATTCCATTCTGAGCTGAAAAGCTCTTCAGTTGGTTAAATTCTTTAGTCACTACCTATAAAATAAACTATGTCTGCTTAAAATGTTAGTAAGCCCATGCAGAAGACAGTAATTACGGATTTACACCTGCAGATTTTTCTGTTTCTTACATCACAAGTTCAAATGAGCAAAAATGACCTGAGCTAGAATATCAAAAACGGATGAACCATACTACACACAGATTTTATTTGTCTGAGTACCATCCGGTGCTAGAGGGCTCTCGTTGCCATCAACTTGTCTACAGATAGATAGCCTAAATCCCAAATGAGTATAAGTAACGAGAAAGATGGTAGTTCTTTTATTTTATTGCATTGAAAAGGTATAATTTGTGTTTAGTTATTTTTTATTTTCTCTTTGAAAAGTAAGCCACTGCCTAGGCTTAGGTTCAGTGTAAATGATCATTTGTCTGATAATTTCTGACTCAGAACAGAACAGAAAAGCGCTTCAGTCCACAAGCAATCATGCACTTTCAGAAAGCACAGCCTTACTGTTAAGCAAATACCTCAGTATTTTCCTAAATCATAACATCAATCTCCTGCTTTTTTGATGCTTAATAAAAACACTACAGCTGTGCAACTAGCTGGGCACCTGGCTGCATTGATGTGTCATCTTCTTTTCCAAACTCGACAACTACTAAATGATGAATTTGCAGTAACTGCAACATTCTTGTCTGAATGAAATCTCTTTTATGCCAATTCATTCCCTGCTTTCAATCTAGTTGTCAGAATGGCAATGCATGCCTTGTAGCTTTGTATCAAGAGAATACATATAGTTTTGATTTATTTCTTTCCTCCTGCTGTTTTCCATACACTTGAAAAAGAACTTACATGTTTTAAGCAGAACTAAAAAACCTTAGGAGATACAATAAGCAATTCAACCTACATTAATCTCATTCATTTGGTACCACTAAAGACAACAAATTCATGTAATTTTCACAGAGATAACCTGGACCCAGATCTTATTGTTATTATTATTATAAGTTTCCATTTTCCCTCCCATTTTCAGCTGCAGAAGAACTAGATACTGTTAAACTTTTTGATTCAGCACCTTTATGTAGGAATACTCCATTTAAACCACTACTCAGTCTCATATAAAGAGATATGTTCATACTACATAAAGTTTCAGTATAGCAAAGAGGTCATCATGAGCAATGGAAGTGTGATTGAATTTATATTATGGAACAAATGTACATAGCCTGAAAGTGAACATGTCTGTTCTTTACTGAAGGCCACATCCCAAAAGTGGATTATGTTTTTAACATGTTTTTATTTGAGATTCTTTATTTTTACTATTAGCAAGGCAGAACAGTTTTAAATTAGCTACTCTGTTTTTTTCTTTTATTCTGCCATTCTTCAGAGTATGTGTAGTCCAAATCTGCTATTTTTGATTGTCTGCGTTTTCTGCTTTGCTTTTAGGAAAAGAAAAGCTCTTTACAGTGACCTATTCTGAAGTTTTCTGTCAGGCTGCTTTATCGTTATTAATGAAACCAAGCAGTTTCTCAGAACAAACCCTTAATCAAAAAAATTGGTGCAGACAGTGTATGCATATACACAAAGAAACAAATTGGAAAACACCATAGTCAAAAATATCTTCAAGTATTTGCACACAAGGAACACTGAAATATGCCTTAAATTTTATAATTCTTGCACAGTGTACAGGAAAGGCAATTTTTGAAGAGACGACTTGGGGCGATCGTGCAAGTTTGGTCACCTTCTGTGGTCAGTACTGTCTATGACCCCCTGGGATTCACAGCTGTTGACTGGGGATGCTAAAAAGCACATGTCTGCCCACTCCTTTTCATGGCCATCTGTGGGCCTGCTGTACATCAAATTTTCTCAGCCTCTTTTGAACAAGAATGTTTTTTGAATGTTTTTGAACAACATTCCACTGAACATTCCCTCTATCTTGTATTGTGCGGAGGTGCAGTTTAGCCTTTGGCTTATTCACCTCCTCCACGATTTTGTAAGCCTCACATGTGACAGTAACAACACCTTACCTTTTTGGTAATTTGAACGGTCTGGCTGGTCTGGAAAGAAGAAAAAAAAAAGTATTACTGAAAATACATGAAAAATACATGCACATACTACTTTGTTTAATTCTTCTCTTTCACAGATTTTCCCAGCAAAAAAGATATTTAAGAATATAAATTATTTGAAAAAAGCATACAATCATATTTAATTGAGCTTCTGCAAACAAGTAATTCAGAGAATAATTATAGCTACAAAGACAGCTGGGTTTTCAAAAGCGGCATTTGAGGCAGCTGATTTTCAGGATTACTATTTGAGAAGCTTTTCAAGTTTTCAATAAGGGACCTAATAAACTAACAAGATATCAATTCAGAACCACAAAAAATACGACAAAGTTTGCATTTGCTGGAAAAAGGCAAACAAAACACCATCTTCCAACATTGCAATCCATGAACCTTTTTAATTGCCGTTGTAGTTCCATCACAGAAAGTGATTTTGGTCATAATTTTGTCTTTCCATAATTAGGAAATAGAATGACCGAAGGTATCCATGTGACCGAAGGTACCCTTTTCTATGTAGCTTTTTGTTATTTATTAAAGTGAATATAAATACTATTACTTTGACAGATAAGAGAAAAGCAAAACCAAAAGCAAATTATTCATACTTGCTGCTGTTCAGTGAGCACTTCATTTTGTTAGTTTTTGGATCCTTAAGCTTCATATACACTTTGCCTTAAAAAGAGATGTGGAAAAAAAGAAGCCCTAATTCCCATCAATAACCTTCATCAATAACCTGTAAGTCCATTTAAGAACCTCTTGTCTGTGAATGTGACATGAAGTCACAGAGTTTAAATCTGAAGAGAGCAGTAACAGGACTGTGTCTGAAGAGAAACACTTAAACAGAGGAGTCTTTCATGCATTAATGCATCACCAAAGGACCCCAAAATAGCTGCTTTGCCTAAATGCCAGAATCAGGTACAGCCCCAATGAAAAACACAAACTATGACTCCATGCTTCCACGGAAAAGGGAATAAAAACACAAACTGAGTCAGAGAACAGATTTTAGTAATTGCACCATACATCTTTGTGTTTACAAGTTAGAAAGAAACAGACACAACTTTTATTCTTAACACAGTAATGAATTTTTAGTCATCATTTGTCAACATCCGCGTTTCTGCCTCTTGAAAATGAGTCGTCTCTCACCCGGGTCACAGCAGGCCTTGCCACCACGAGCAGTAACACCATACAACTATTTGACACAACCAACAGTCATCCAAAGACATCTGTATAGGCTGTTGGTTGTAACTCAGGTTTATACTTGGAGAAAGGTTTATACGGCTATTCAGGTTTCTTCTGGCAGACAAAAATGCTTTGCTTATACTTGCACTTTTAATCAAATTTAGCATTCACTTTTACAACAAAGTTAGTCTACAAGGTTGAAGAAACAAGTGACTGACTTAACTGAGAATTAATTCCCATGGAAAGAGAATTTTCCTCTGCGCAGGCCTGAGCACAGCTCCCCAACATGACACACCAGGCTGCAGGACTGCCACGGACCTTCCCAGGGCCACGGAAAGCCGGAGTTTGGCCCACACCGCTACCTAATGCTCAGATTAATGGGATGCTTGGACAGTGAGATGCAGGTGGGCAAAGTCTGCCACAGAGTCATGGCAAGACCTAGGACACATTTGCTGGAGTAAGGACACCCCTTTGGCCCTGAGGCAGGAATGTCTCCATCCAGCGTCTGCTGCCACGGCTCTCCCAGCCCCTCTGATACCTCCGAGGTTGCTTTCAAATGCACATGTGGAGCCTCTTCACCAAGCCTTGCCCTGCATTTCCATTATGCCCCTGTAACTACACAGCAAAAAATATTTTCTTGGTAGAACTTACATTTTGTTTAGGACAGAACTTTCAAAAATTAGCTGATTTGGTGCATAAAAGAGGGACAAAGATACCTATGCAGCCATTCCTCATCCCCCTTGTTTCCCATCAAAACAAAACTACGTTGCCCTCTGTTTCCTCCACCTGCAAAATATATTCAGTGGTGAACAAATGATGATGATGAAGTTCTTCAAAGTTAGGGAAGGTTAAGGGTCACACCTGCTATCAAACTGTTTTGCTTCGAAAAGCATGCATAAAAATCAACAGCGTCCCCCAGAATGAATTCCAGCAGTGTAACCAATCCCTTGCAGCTGTCGTGATGACTCTATTATATCAGTCAATAGGAAAAGCTATCCCTGAAAACTATGCCAAAAAATTCTTTAGTTATGCTCTCAAATACAGAAATGCATAGCAAAAACAGGTCTTTCCTGCTTAATTAATGCTATGTCTAATTTTTGAATTATTATGCTTCCACCTAGTCAGCTTAATAACACCACTAATTTTTTCTTTAAAAAAAAATCAAGACAAGAAACAAAAATCCCACCACTATTTTTTTTTTAAAAAATCAAGACAAGAAACAAAAATCCTCATCAGTTTACACGAGAAAGAAATGGTGAATTCCATAAATTATGTCAAGAAAAAAAAAGTTATATTAAGTATGTTATCCTACCAGAAAGCCTGGAACAGAACTCAATTTGATCTGTGTATTAAATTACCTCTTTCCTCAGTAGTCCTGGGCTTGACACTAGGACCTGACATCCCATTTGTTTGTGATGGGACTAGCAGAGGCAGGTTGTTACAGAACTACCCTCGCTGGTGAACCCCCAACACGAGCTGTGCCAGCGATGGAAACCCAAGGGGAAATCAAGTGACGGGCTGCGTCTGACTGCCATTTACTGCCCGCCTCAGCTCCTGGTCTACCGATGCTTTTCTTCCTTCCCTCCTTCTTAATAGCTATTTAGACTGTATCAGCTCCAACTATGGAAGTATGGACAAACATTATGTTTTATATCATTTCAATTCTGCTTTTCTCATGTAAGTGCTCATAAGAGAGACCTACTACTGTCTTGATACAAATAAAAGTGCATGCATAAAAACCTAAATGTGTGTTTGTGTAGCTGTTAGAGCAAGAACTGACCTACCACAGGGGTTATCATCACCTAAATAAATAGCAATATAAACCTATTAATTAAAAAGCCAATAGCTAACTAACTTTTCTTTCTTGCATTACACCACAAAATTAACTTGAGTCTAAAATATTATGTTACAATAAATGGCTGTACTTAGTGAAAAAAATATCAATATAAAGACTCTCCTGTCACAGGATTATGAAGTGTTTAACTCTAACACTTTGCCACAGGGAAGCTATTCCTTTCTTGGCAGATCTGGTTACAAGCAGCGATAAAACATGGCTTTTTGTCATTACTACACTCAAGGATAAGCTAAAGCCCTGCAGGACAGAACAAGATACGCATCACGTTGTGCACCTTCCGTTAGAACACACAATACCAGCTAAATCCCCGCAGAGGAAGAAAATCCTAGTGTTTTCAGCAAGGCATTGACCCATGAGAAAAACTTCAATTGCTTTAAATATCAAGCTAGTTTTTGCATTTACACAAGACATAACGTCTACCTGCCCTATCGCTTCAGCAATTGGAACAATCATTCAGCCAACAAATCCAAATGATTTAAGTCCCCCAAGCCCTTTGCTAGCCTCCCGTTTTACTTTTCTGCTGTGCTGTACTGAGGTTTCCTTGACTCCGATCATGAACTCGCTCTTGATGCTTTTTAAATACGCTGTGTTTATTGCCTTTGTCTGCACATCATTTTGTTTATTTACATCTAGAAAGGAATTATAAGACAACACACAGCAGAAGCATGTTGCAATCAAGACAGAGGATTTATTTTTTGATAAATTGCTTTTGTCTAATTTTTAATAAAAGCAAGAAAAATGCAAAGAATTTCTTCTTGTTTCACACACAGACATCAAGGAGCACTCCAAAGGGTTTTTTTTTTTGCTGTATATTACCAGGGTGAGATGATCTGAAACTAGGTACTACTTCATCTCAAGGAAAAAGAAAGAAACCCCACTGCTGCAGTTTTGTTTAACCTTATACCTGTTAATTACTTCCAATAAAGCATAAGGCTATTTTTATGCATAAAATTAAGCAGAATGAAAGGCAGTGTAGTACACAGACCAAAATCAAGAAACTAGCTGCCAACTGTATTACAGATGTCCACTCATAATTTCACAGTTGAGATTCCAAGCTTTATGAAGGTGCCTGTCTCCTTCTCCTGTATCCTTCTACCCCTTCACTTCCAACTGAGGGTTTATGTCCACAGCAAGAACAAACAAGGAAGGAAAGCAGGGGTAAGCACGGTATAAATGACAATACAATCATTGCCTGAGTGATCCTTGCTGTTACTGATTTAAATTTTACCTTGAAAATATCTCTACAGACCCACAGAACAGACACAGGTAAAAGCAGAATACTTTGCCATCAATAGCAAGCCCTCTACATACTTAACAAAACCTTGCTCACTTTCTGCTACTAAATTTTAAACTGACACTTTACTGACCTACTTTGCAAAAGTGAAAGGTAGTTTTGACACAATCACAAACTTCCAGTTCACACCAGCATACAATAGATTAGCTCGGCAGAAATACACATTTCTTTATGGTCAACAGACATGCAAAAAAGTCAGTGCGATCAGATTAACATCCTGTGCTTACATATTTTCATTTGGAAGTTAACTAGTGATTAATTTTAAAGCACTGCATTATTTATTATATACTAAAATTAAAACTTCTACAAATTTCTATATACCTTTGTTTCCCCTCAGAAATCTCTCTTCAAGGATTCCAGCCACTTCTAAAGATAGTTCTCAAAAATTACCAGTAAGAAAACTACTTAAACATACTTAAAAAGGATCATCCCAGTTCTAAGTGGCAAAGTTCATAACTATAAAGTGTATTCTTCAGAAGGTTTAAGTAAAGATATTCATGTTTTCCTTTAGTTTCTGAAACACTAAAGGGGGGACTACATATAGTACTGCTTGGCAAGTTAAACAAAAGTTCAGAACTATTCAAGACAATAAAAAAGGCTTAGCAAAATACCAGCATGAATCACTAGTTGAAAACAAGCCAGCAGTTAATTTAGAGCAGACTAATATTATTT